CTGTACCTAATTAGTGCCACGTAGATAGAACTAAAGGAGTAACGATAAAAATACCTCTAAAATAAGAATGTTTACGGAATCGATTGCTGTTGCTAAGTGAACATAAATACAATATTACAGACCTAATGTCTGAAGCTGGCGTGAGATTATTTTAAGAAGGCATCACAATTGCTAAAAGTATGCTATTTATTACTGCATAGCTTTATGTGTATGTTGTTTTGTATTAAGAATACATTTTTAACTTTCCTGATGTATACGCCTAAAAGTAAAACACACGGAAGGTAAGTACAAATGACGATGTACAAAGTACGTTCTTTGGACAGAGCTACATTTGAATGTCGCTCTGCCAATAAATGGCGGCCTATTTCAGATCATCTTAAAAACACTAGATGGATGGAAAAATATTTGTATGATTATGTAATTTAATGTATTTAAGTCGGTGTCAAATAGGTAATATTTCATGTGCACGAGAAAGATTGCTACTTTTCTCGTTCGCGTAATTGCCTTTTCATCACCCAAGCCTCAGCAGCATGCCTTGCTGAACTTGGGATAGTTCCATTGGTACTTTGTGATTAACGAGATGGTCAAGGTACATGGTTCCGGATAAGTATATTGGATTACCTATTGCCGGTTTGCTATACGTTAACGAGAGAGTGATTCAGTAGGTCCCTTGACGGACTCCTAACCAACTTATTCTAGAGCTAAGGTATTAATCGTCCTGATCGTAATCGTCTGATTCAGCCCCAGCTATCATAAGTCACTTTACGGAATAAACTCGCACGGCGATGTGCCAGAATGGTCAAACTGGTTACACGATAGAACACTTGGATGTCTGATAATGTTGTTCCCTATTATATTAAGTGTTTAGAGACGTGTAAGAGACAGAGACTCGAAAATCAATATAACCCCCCTGTTAAGGACATATAAACTATCACTAAAGGTACATTATGAAACTTTTCCTAAAATCTCGAGAATTAACTGGAGTTTAAAATACACTGAAATACTCTCCGAATAAACCATGATTTTGTGTAGAATTTATACTTCTCGAAACAAAGGTATAGGTGTATATATTAGAATCAGCTTGTCCGCCTGTCTTTCTGTCCGTTTTCTGGATAAAAGTCCTGTCTACACAACTTCTCCTTAACAATTATGATCGACATTTGATGGTATGTACATGTATAACCGTTAAAATAAGGTGATTCAGCACTGAAAAGTACTGTTAACAATCCATTCGCTGACCGTGCCACGTCAGTGGTCAGAACCAATTATACAACCTGTGCTGCCGTAATATGACATGTGAACTTCGTGTGTGTGGCAGATCACATACGACTCAGAATATAAACAGCCTTAAACACAATATTCATTCACCTGTTATAGTAAAATTCACTAATAATTCACGTAGCTAGTATTGTTTTTGCCAGCGAAGGTTTTTAATCAACCCAATCATCGTTTAAGAAATGTTTCGACGAAAAATCTTTGGATTTCAAGTTTTATAACCCATGGCTTTAAGACAGGTTTTCAGAGTTTTTCGTCTGTGATGGCCGTGTTGTTTTCCTTGAAAAGATAAGAAAACTAAACTGATGTCACTAGCGGCACTAATCATTTAAGTATTTTTGCAGTGTCACCTCGATTCCTGTTAGTGTCTTTTCGTGTCGATTTATGTTCCGAAACAATTCGTTCATGTTGACTTTTTGTGCTGAGATATCTCAGATGACCTCAATCACAGCTGAGGAATAGTTAATAAAGATAAGGTGAACAATTTCAAAATTGTATTTTGACATAGAGAACAGATTCTAAAAACTGTTAACTTATCGATCCTTAATTGCTGCAATGATAACTTCAAGTTTCATTTATAATATAGTATTTTTATAAACATGCATGAACTAAGGCAATCAAATCACTGTATTGCGACTACACACCACAACTTCTAGATCATATAAGACACCCAATTTAGAAACTAAAATAATAGCTCAACTTATTTGATCACATATGTTGGCATAAAGTCGTATCTGAAACAACGTGTTTCTTATGTTACCAAATTACATGAATATTTCTGTTTTATTGGTAAAAGAAAGTAATTGTTTAACATGTTTTTTAATCTCATTTATCCTTGTTGTTACTGTTGATATTGGATATCTTCTGTTTTCGTCTCTAGTGGTTTGCTTTCTTATGATAAGTTCCCGACGTGATGTACGGTGCGATGACGTTGCACATCATCACATAAATACATGTATATCATAACAGTACCTCCAATACGCTTTAATCTGTCATTGTGATACATGTTAGAATCGCTACCGATGGTGAGTTCTAAACTGACGAAATGTTCTTATTGCGCAGCTTAATATATAAGGTGTTTGGCTCTTTATTTTTACAAGATTTTCATATAGATATACGATAGTCCTTACTTCGTATTTCTGTGATTTATATTTGTGGAGCAAGGTGGTTGCACTATCAGATCCCCGAGGCTGCCCGTAGCTATGGAGAGGCTACTCGTAGCTATGGAGAGGCTACCCGTAGCTATGGAGAGGCTACCCGTAGATATGGAGAGGCTCCCCGTAGCTATGGAGAGGATGTCCGTAGCTATGGAGAGGCTACCCGTAGCTATGGGGAGGATGTCCGTAGCTATGGAGAGGCTATCCGTAGCTATGGAGAGGCTACCCGTAGCTATGGAGAGGCTGCCCGTAGCTATGGAGAGGATGTCCGTAGCTATGGAGAGGCTACCCGTAGCTATGGAGCTGGAGTTTACTCTAGTACGAAACGCTTGTTTAAGCAGAAATTACACGTTGCAGCAAAAAGATATTAATATGTAACGTTATAAAGGGTTCATAAACGTCTCTCACCTTTTCACTTTTTGATGCATTCTATATATGATTCAAAACAATTTATCTACAGATAACTCATTATTTGAACTTTTTTTACCACTGATGAGTCCTATAAAGACGAAACGGTCAAATTGTGCAGCAAACAATTGACTTAAGTGTGTCTTTCGTTTATATGTCACGTGGTTATTTATAACCGGCACATACATGATGTTTTATTATGTATAGGCAATGCTATCTCGGTTTTGCGCCTTAATTTTCTACCAGTTGTGTATTGCACTTTTTTTCTACTTTGTACGTGATACAATGCAATAAAACTGTTTAGTTCCTGGCAACAGTTGTCGGATGGAAAACCGAAGTACGCGGTAGTGAAGCGGACGTAAATACTCCAACAAATTAACAAGGCTCCAATCTTCTTTTGGAAGAATATATGTTTTTATATCAACTTAATATCTGATTATAATATTAACATTGCTTAAAGACATAATTAAACAGTTTCTTGCATAACACTGGAGATAATATGATGGACACAAGACGTAACAAACGAAAAAAAAACCCCGCTTAATCCTCCGGAGCACATGATTTTGTTTTGATTTTGTTTGTGTGTTTATCATTTATACTTTACAACCAAGGTAGATTAATGATGACAGATTATTGCTTTAGTCATGGGTTAAGTTTTTAATATTAAGTACTCAGATATTTCCTTGAACAACTACATTTATTAAATTAATATAATACTTAGCATTGTCAGATCTCAAAGCAATAACATTTATGATATAAATATTCCTTGGTATTATAATTCTGCTAGAACTGAACGTGGCTGTTGGGAATTTTACATGTATTCAGTGTCTCAGTAAAACATTCAGTACCACACACTAACATGTTATTGCATGAATCAATTTGGTAATTGTATTTAAGAAATGAATTGCACTACACTATAGAGGTGGTTCGTCGTTGTATGACACATCGGTAATGTTTGTGGCTAAGAGGTGGAAATCCGAATAGGTATAAACTACTGTTGAAACAGAAGGGGTGGGCGTGAAACCCCTTAATTATTTGAATTTCTAAAACAAGATGAATCATTTTTTCAAATTAATATTTAACGAATCGTGAATGTTACGAACTGTAACACTACTCCAAAATGATAAGTGTGGCTTTAAGAGTAACAGTAAACATGAGAGACTAAGAAATCGACCTGAAGTTTTTACCATCTTGTATCTTGAATGATGAACGTAAAGCCACAAACATTTACTTATATAGTGTTACCTTTAACATTTGGTAATAGATACAGAAAGATAAAGCGTACCCCCCCCCNCCCCCCACCCCTACACACACGTTATTGCACATTTAAAACAATTTGTGAATATATATAATTTGCCAAAACAAGGAATAACACTGAAATATAAATTCAACAAATGAATGACACTACACCAGGCAGCTGTTGCTTCCTACTATGAATGAGCTAATATCCCTTAAACCATCTTAAACTATTATTATGATAAGATTAGCAAACTGAAATGGCATCGTTTAAACAAATCACTGTTTGTTATGTTTCTGTAACAATGATAAGTACATGTATGGCGCCGTAATGCTTGTAATGCCTGAAATCCAATATATGCAATAACAATGTTAAAATATTTTGACTGAAAAAATATTGATTATATTTCGATCGTAAAATAGACATTTTGTAGACGCAAATGAATTCCCAATTCCTATTCTGTTCAACATACAACTGACGAAAATTGTTAACATTTTTCACGCTATCTATATAAAATTCACTAAAATTAAACCACTATTTACTCACATCGAGATGTGCATATTTAAAGAAAACGAGTTTAAGCTACTCTTTAAAATGCTTCAAGTAAATCCGCGGTGGAAGCCCCCGTGTTACGCAAAGATCATTACATACCGACGGTAGTACATCTGTATCAGTGCTTAATTTCTCGGTGAATGGTAGTTGGGTATATAGGAACATAGCTGCGTAGTATGTGCGTTACAGTAAGAGGGGTCTGAGCAGAATTTATGAGTCTCTCTATTGATTTGTTCCATAGGCTCTATTCTTTTTCGGTAGGCCTGTCACAAGTCGGCGATACCATGTACAGAATCAACGGTACCGTATACTTTAGTCGCCGACAACCACCGTGATGCTCTTTGGTGACATGTGTACCAAGTAGAGCTCAGTGGGTGAAATATGTATTTAGCTGCGAATATCCAAATCCAATGATGATAGAAGCGTAAAACTTTGGAAGAACTGTAAAATATATATCTTATTGACGGATACTTCATCAAATAAGATAAATATATCTCATCGTTCAAAATCCATATTTGTTCATATATGTCTATCAACAAATCACAGAATCAATCAAATTTAAAGTCAATATCAAGTATAATATAAGGGTCACTCTTATGACCACAATATGTTGGAAAATAACCTATGCGGTTCAGAAGGGTTAGCGCATATTGATTCACGTGATGTATTTTGATATTGTGATTAAAATTGAAGCTTATATAAGTATGCCAGACGTTATGTATGGTACAATGTACCATGTAAAGCGGTCGTAGTCAGGATGTTCTACATAACGTAAGCAAGGGCCCTCAGACAAAAGATAACTATGAAAGGTATATACATGTTACACACCTTGACTGTTAGCATAGGAACCGTCCACTGTTTGTCCATGGAACACATCATGACCTAGAGTACGTAAGTATTGTTTAACGTATAAGTGTTATTAATCTAATTGTACCAAATATTATTATTTCTTCTCAAATTGTTCTTGTGTTACTAAATGGACCTGTTAAGTATATCCACGGCTATTACATTTAAGTTTGTTCTTATTGAAACCGAGGCTAAAAAATGAGGACTCTCCGAGATATACATATTACAATCAAAAGATGTCCTTAACGAAAATGTTAGAATTTCATATTTAACGGACAGAATAGCTTTCTGATGACATTTGAATCTACAGACAGTCATATTTCCTACATTTCATTAAAACAATGAAGCTTGTTGACACACATGCATCTCGTAAAAGAAATTAGATGTTCTGTCATTAAAATTCTGAACTATAAATAGAATTGATAAGATTATAAGACTCTTTCATACCCAGGGGTGTAGGATAGGGAAATTCCACTCGAGGGTTTTCAAATTTGGTAAAACCCGAGGCTCTGGCGAGGGTTTTGCTAAAAATTGAAAATCCTGAAGGTAACAGGTTTTACTTTTATCACGTCGCCTTTTTCGCGTTAAGGCATCGGAGTGTTCCAAATTCGTGACGTTACGTCATTGTTGAGGTTTTGTGACGTCACGTCACATGAAATGGGTGTAAGATAAAAAAAAAATCCTACGCCCCTTTCTTACCCTGGACAGCTCTATTTTACACACAGGGAAATGAGAGAAAAAATAACCTTAATGAATACCGCACACAAGTATTTATGACACCTTTATGCTATATCTGTATACAGGATGAGTATGCGAGTTTCTTGATATATTGATATTTTTGTGTAGTTTTTATTTTATTTTTTATTTTTATGATGATCAATTAAAGTTTGATATAAAGCGTTCTACTAGTTTCATGTACATCTTCCTAGCATGACCTTTGGATTCGCATGCTTGGTTCAATACACGCTACAGCTACAGAATATAAATACTGAAAATTAAAACTCCAGCGTCAGGTAATCTCTTCAAAGTCCATCTGCCGTCCGTGAGGCACTTGAATTTACATAAATGACATTTTAGCTATAACTAACGGTATTCATTTCTTATTTATTGTTATTTATTGAGACAGATAGTGCACAGCTGGTGCATTATGCACGTTGTAACACTATCTTATATGTCGGAGAAGATCGATTGAAGCAAACCCATGTATTATGTTACTATCAAAGTTCAGTTAAGCAATTCCACTGGGATTTTATTGCTTCGGGGGAATCAATCTTTAAACTCAACAACCAGCCTGTTATCTTTGGAAACGCATGTTATGATGTACGTTATTGATAGTGATGAACAAATTGGAACAGAACAAGCGTGCCCCATCAAATACACGTTATACAAAGTTCTAATGTATAAATCATTTCAAAATACAAGCACAAATCAGCGAACGATACCATTTACAATTTGATTTCTTGATCTGTTTTAACATTCAAATAGCCCTATACTCCTATTAATAATGAATTCAGGTACAGGCAATTACTCTTAGTATTATCCAGTCCTGAACAATCTTGCCAAATCAATTGTTTAGAAACAGAATTATCCTTATCTGTGTAATACATCTTTCATTAGAACACAGAAAAGGCAATCATATCACAATTAATCTATCAAGTTATTAACTTTTCTCTATTAAACGCCAGATCATCCCAATGTTCGTTTGTAATAAATATCTGAGTTAAAAATACAAATGTATAAATAAGGTTTCTTACTTACAGGGCCCTTAACCCCCTGGTTCGGATATCTTTAAAAGCTTCCACCCCAGATCTATCTCACCCTTCTCCCTAATATTCTCACAATGTCCTATACACACATACACATTTACGTTTTCTAAAGATTGTAAATGTAGAAATACAATACACTGTAGAAATGTTCATGGATTTAAATGATAATAACATGACAATCGGTATAAAAATGCAAATATCCAAGCTATTTGTTTTCGAAATACATGTACAGAAATAGTGCATTTCATAATTACTTTTTGTTATAAAACTACTATTTGGACATTTCCAACAAATAATTCTATAAATGTTATAATTGGCTTGTTCCAGACAAAATCCAGTCTGATTTGAACCTGTACAGGTAATGAGTACGTTTGTTTGTCTATACACAATTTCTTATTAGAAAGCAGTCGAGCACAATCAAACAGCTGATATATTAAGATTAATTATTTCTGATGTCCGTGTAAATAAGGCGATATCTAAAGCAACTTTAATACTACGGAGATACTCTATTGTATATGACAATGAATGATTAAAACGAACATACATTCAGTTAAAATTGCTCTAGAAATAATAACATATATTGGATATGACATTACACCTAGCCAAATCCATACTGAAAAATAAGTACACTGCCTTACAGTAAAATATATTGTCCTTTCCAAAATGTTCAGCACTCATGAACATATTAAATAAAAACATGTTCCACTCTCGTTGACACCTTCAATACCTTTCTGCGTGAACATTTACATTTGACGACTCTCCAAGATACAGTACATATATATGTGATTCTCACTACTGTTTTTTAAATTTGACTATATTTATCAAGCACAGGTAAAATGAAACAAAGATGTAAGGAATCATAAATTCTTTAATAAATACGGACATTTGTTCTCTGAGTATTGCAGACAGAAATGGTGTCTGAGAAGAGGTCATAGATCATATTGGAGAACTAGGCAATGTATCAAGAAGGAAGGCAGTGATTATCTGGTAACGCGTGGCTAACTATTGATGTCTGTGTGCTGTCTGCTACACAAATGGACTCTAACAAAATGATATATGGCAAAATTCACCTTAGCTCCTCATGTGTCCATCAAAGCCATTACATACAAGGCGGTGCAAAAAAAGAGCAAGCCACTAACACATATTAGTGCGGATATCCGTCAGCTTTGACAGTATTCACAGTTGAGAAACGTGTGTGATATTTACACAGGTTAGAAAGTGGTATGATCTCAATGTTAATGTTGTCATCAATACAATGTACCTGCTACATACCGCATACGTTCAACCGTACTGTACTATGTATGTGTTTGTTCCAGGAGTAGACAGTACATTTAAACCGCAATTAATCAACAGTACAATAAAGTAGTGTACAAGATCTCTATGTGGCATTTATGTTTGGTGAAAATGGTTATGTTGGCATGCATGTACCTATAGTGTAATACTACACTGGGTAACATTACAGGCTGGACATATCATAACAAAGAAAACGTTGTTATAAAACTTGTTGAAACATGTAAGGATGATTGCTATGTGAAGAAGACACATATGTTTACCTAACTACAGTTATATACACAAACAGTTAGTCATGATGGGTGCAACATGTGGTTGAAGTATCCGGAGACCTGGGTTTGCCTACGTCTTCGGTGGTTTTTTTTTATCTACTTTTAGTTTCTTTTCAGATTCAGTTGTTGTGTCGACAAGTTTCGCCCTTTGTGTGCTAATGTGTTATTTTAGCATTATAGAATTCATAGTAAGATATAAGGATTATTACGCAAAATTGTTTAGAGGTTGCGTTTTCTTTAAAATAAAGACGCGTTTTATGAACCGTTGCACACAATACACGGGTCAAGTATGTTAACTTGTATGGAGTAATTAATGAATAATAATAATAAATCGCCCTAATTGTACAGAACAGATCAGGTAATCGATACACACACATAAACACACTTACACTAGTACATTCTGTTTACATGACCATTATGTTTTGATACGTTCCATGGAAACAAGTACTACAACATAAAACAATTGATGTTAAATGCAATGTGCAGGCGTCCAAGTCGCGATGCTTGTTACCAAATTGCTAAGCTGATAAATACGAGCGACTATGCCTACGACACAACTGCTTTGGATTTCCGTACTGCTGCCAAACAACTGCAACAAGGCATTCGAAACATTTTCCGACATGACTATGGCTTTGATAAATCATTTCTGAAAACGAAACCCATTCCTTAAGGAACCTTTAAGAAAAAACATATTCAAAATGAAATGAACAAAAACTAATAAACAACAGTGTTTTGGATATAACCAGTGCAGCGGGGCAGACATTTAAAAGGATACTTAGTTGTTATAATTATCAACATTGATATGAGTACCTTCCTATGTAATTTGTGTTTCTATTATAAATATATAAAGCAGTTTCCGATAAAGCTAATTGATGAAATATAAGCACTACTGGGAATGGAATTGACTGTCCTGACCTTGCCTTCAGTTTTAGGGATTCATGACTCCGTAGTTGATTTTGAACCCCGAGCCCTGGTGCTAGTTTAAAGGATAATTCCGCCATTAATCACATGGGATGCTACTTTGTTTACTAGAGAGATATATCCATCGATCACAAATGACAATGACACGTTTTTCTGAACGATAGTAGCAATTGTGTATTCAGTGTTTCATTCATGATTTGACAGGGTTTTGTGGTGAAATTAGAAGCTCCGTGGGACCTCGATCTACGGCGTGTTGTAGTAGCATCACCAAGCATAGGA